ACCTGAGGACGCAGCACACTCATTGACTAACGACTTATCAATCACATGTCGTTAGCCAATGAACATAACATTGATAATCCTCCCTTTTAACATTTAAACCAGGCACAATTAAGATATACATAAATGGGAAAGTGTTTACTGAGGTCAGGGCAATCTACCCGTAGACTCCTCTATAAACAGATGATTTTTTTGCAGCTACAACTGTTGGCCCCTTGTGGTCAAAAGCTTGAAAAAGTCCTGTTTCATTGTGTACATGATGTTGTGTATTTTTGCAGTACGTGTGGGACCGAATGCTGGGAGGCTTCAAGCATAAAAACAACCGGACCAGAGAAGGAGTGTGCCTTTGTCTCATCGCCACGCTGAACACGTGAGTTTCCCTCCTTTGCTCGTTCTGCTCGAGCAGGCCGATTGGGCCGTCACGTGACCTCATTTTTAAAAATCTGTGTCCTCCCGTCTCCTCGTTTTTGTCCCGCTGCTCATTACTCTGATCTGTTTGTCTTACAGATATGGAGCCCAAGGCCTGACTCTCAATAAAATTGTTCCTCATATATGTAACCTCCTGGGGGACCCCACTAGTCAGGTAAAGCCTACCATGACATCTCTCTTCTTTTTTTTTTTTTTTTCTTTTTAGAAGATTTTGTGTAATTTATGACCAAAACATTGAAGAGACACCAGGTGAAGTTTAAATTAAGCCAGCCGGCACCACCTTGTACCACCAGGTGGTGCGGTGAGTTAACTAGAGATGTCATATAGAGTGCCTGATTAAACACTGCCATCTGGAGGTGAAAGTCTGTATGACTTTTTTTCAATTGTAATTTTTTCCCCCCCATTGGTTTGTCTGATGAGTTGACTACATCATTTTATTCATGGTGACTCTGCTGTGGAACATCTGAATAGAAACGTCTGTTTGTTTGACTCCTCTCTGATGTTGTTGTTGTGTGATGCTGGTCACCAGGTCCGTGATGGAGCCATGAGCTCCCTGGTGGAGATCTACAGACATGTGGGTGAGAGGGTGAGGCTGGATCTCAGCAAGAAGGGCCTGCCACAGTCACGGTAAGAGAACAGGCCGCTGCCGTTTAACAATTTTTCTCTTTGATAGCCTTCATTGATTAACGGTAGAGCGATGGTTAATGAACAGAGAGCCCTTTATTAGTTCCCTGTTCCAACCACAGCTTGATTTTCACGCGCTGTTTGGTTCAAGTGGGTAAAATGTAAAAGTCATTAAACATTTTATAGCAACCCTACTTTCAAGAGTCTCTTTTTAATTAGAATTATATAAAATTTTATTTAGCCTCTTTCACATATTGAGTTTCTACAGATTTAGCTGATGTACTGCAGGAATTTCCCATTTTTAATGCTAAATAAATTAGATGATTTTTCTTTATATTACCACGGTTTTAAATTGCTATCGAATTATCCATATATAAGGATTATACCTTCCTAAAACATGATTCTGCAGCTCATCGGAGCACCTGTGAACCTGTGATTTAGCATCAGAAATCAGCACAGAGTGTAAAATAAATGGTTGTTTAAACATAAAATATATATTCTGTTATGATTCATTATTTATGAAGTTGGCTGCAGATTTAAAGTTGAGCTGAACTGCAGTAGAGCTGGTGTGCGTGCACTTTTTGGTCTAAATCCACACTGCAGAGGTTACTTTCTGGCTCATGACTGAACACCCCAGATGATTTATTTTTTCCTAAATCGGATTTATGGTCATCGCTCTTGTAATCAGCCATGAACAAGCTCTTTGAAACGGCGCCAGAATTTTGTAGCTCGGGCTCAAAACGTGATTTCACGTTTAATATCAGATACCAGCGAACATTCAGATGCGGCATCTTCTTTGTTCCCTTTGTGTCCTCTTCGTTCCTCCTTCACACTGGGCCATATGTCTCTGCACCCCTCCATCACCCCTCTCGCTCGCTCTCTCTCTGGCCCCGTTGCCTGTTAGTCATCTGTGTGGTGGTTTCGGTCTATTTTGGTCCCTGCAGCAGAAAGCCGAGGGAGGGCTTCTCACCTCGGAGGTGATGGATGGTGCAGTAAACAGGTCTTTAGTTACTTTCTGCTGCCCATCTGCTTTGTTTTATGTGCCATCTGCATAATTATCTTCACATTCTTGTCTTTCTCTCTGTCCCTCTGTTACAGCTTGAATGTAATCTTCAGCAAATTCGATGAAGTCCAAAGATCCGGGAACATGATCTCATCTTCTGGTTCAGGTGAGTGCTCCTCCCTTTGCTTCAGGCTTCTTTCTGCTGGTATGCAGAGCACATTAGAGGCTGGCTGATGTGGAAATTCAAATCACATCGCTGTAGTTTTAGGCTGGATAAATTATATGTACCTCAGTGTCTTCTATCAAAAAGCAACAGGTGGGACGTCTCAAACACATTTATTAAAGATTGTAGTTTTTCCCCGTTGTCTGACTGGCTGACTCCCGCTTGGTCGGTCAGGCTGACCAAACAGCTGGTCTCTGAGGGCCTGTTGTCCTGAAAGTGAATTTGCAAAGGTTCCGATTTCCTGCACCTTTGTTTTTGAGTCGGCTGCAAAATCAACTGAAACTTGCAGAGCTGGTTTCAGTGAACCTGGTGGCTGCAGAGGTTTTAGCTGAATATTACTGCACTATATAAATACAGGCCATTTTACTGCTCCTGTTTTTTTGACCAGAGACTGTGACTTCCTCTGAGGTGTTAGGCTTCATCTGTGTTGTAGTTTATACATTTGTTGTTGTAGTTGTTGTTTTTGGTGGGGGATTTGAATCAGACTGCTTCTCACAAGGACATATGAACTCATGGTTCAGTGAGTGTGTCCTTAGAGCTGCCCTCTTTGTAATCTGTTCAGGGGATGTCTGAGATTTTTAGCTACAAATGCATGGGTTAAGGTTTCTCAGTTGCAGCCCTGGAGCATAAACAATTCTCTTTCTGGTGGTTTAAGTCGTTTTTGTTTCGAGGGGAAGGGACAGCTTGGTGTGTCTGTCATATGGTGCAGGGTGAAATTTAGGAGTTATTTGACAGCAGAGCTTGAAGACAACATCTTCCTTGTGGCAGATTTTTCTCTCCTGTGTCATCACTCTCTTTTTCTGGCGTGTCAGCTTCTGAGTCTACCCTCCATGTTGAATGTGTACATGAATGTGGAGAAAGGAGGAGGATGGGGGAGGGTTTCAGGCCCAATGGACAGCCTGGGGCGAGAGTCAGAGATTTCAGCTGTCCCTCTGTGGAAGTAAAAAAGACTAGCAGACTCTGTTAATATATCAGAAACACAAAAAAAATAAAACTGCAGTTGGGTGGATGTTAGAAATTCTTCGCATTTGGAGCTGCTGACTCTGTCTAATTGCAGCTAACGCCGCATTTACAGCAAGAACAGCTGATCCGAGGAGAACACAGTGAGACGGGGATCAGTGTTTCAAAACAGTCTCCACCTCCCGTCTCAGCTGCCGCTCTGAGTTTCTTTGAGTGTCATGTGAAGTTTAACTTTCAGTAAGACCTGATCAATCATGATGAGGCACGATTTTCTGTCAGATTTAAGCTGTATTCACCAGCCTGCTGAGTCACAGTCGCAATCTTAAGATGATGACACAGCATTTCAGTCGGCACTGAAGTTCTTTCATCTCTTTCCTGCTATTTTTATCGGTTATTTTTGCACCATATTTTCATCTTCGTTGTTCTGTTTATTCGACTCCTTAAATTGATCTGTATAAAATCCATCAAAGTGGAGAAAAAAAATCCCACCTGAACCCCCCTTAGTTAATCCTTGTTTTTTACTTATAGCCAGTCCAGAAAAAATGTTCTCATCAGTCAGTTTCTTTGTAATCTCCTTTAATTTCAGACACTGAGGATAAATAATATTGCTCAGCTCCGTAGGACATATGAAGCAACTCCTGAGTGTGAGTCCTAATAATAAATAAAGGTGGACACTTTAGCCAGTGTTCATGTTGCTGTGTAAAGTTAACTTGGAGGACTGAGAGGAGCATGTACACATGACTCATTTCAGCGCTTATTAGATATTGAGCCTTTATATCCATCACGATCAGCTGCTTGGCTCGACTCGTCTCTTTCACAGCTCAACTGAAATTGACTCTGTGACTTGTTTTAATTGAAATCTGTCAGTCTTAAAGAGAGCGGAATGTCTGGTGTTAATGTGGATGGGCAGTGAGCGCTGTGACAGCAAAATAAGAATAGAATAGAATAGAATAATCCTTTAATTGTCCCACAAGGGGAAATTTGGTTGTAACAGCAGCTAGAAGACACATATACAACACACAGGACACAGAACAGAAACATACAGTTTTTCTTACGTATTTACATCAAGGACAATGGTTACTATAATAAGCTCTAAGCATTGAGGAAATGGGTTGTTATACTGCACTGAGTTATTATAGGCCTTTTTATTTTTATTTCGTTTTACATTTTTTTTCTTGTACTTCAGTTGTAATTGTGTCAAACTGTAGTTTGAAGCGCAAGTTTGATGTTTCATTGAGTTTATATTGTTTGAAAATGCTCAGTTAATGTTATTATGCAATGAGCACATTTGTCAGGGGCTAAATTTAACAGTCATTTAGAGTTTCAACGAACACATGTACATGGATGCCTGAGGATGGTAGTGTGACCAAACTGAGAGAGAGTATAGATGTTTCATCTATATATTTAAAAAAAATATACAGTGGAACCCCGACTTACGAAATTAATTAGTTCCCGAGGGTCTTTCTTAAGTCGAAATTTTTTGTAAGTCGAAGCACCCATCGCGCCTTTTGAGTGAACGAAAGGCTATAGGCTAATTGCTAACTGCAACAACAATACGTCGTTCAAGTGGAACAGCGAAGCGCAAGTACGAAAGCCAAGGGGGTTGTCACATGATTCGGAAGGCATTGTGGGCGTTCTGGGCTCAGCCAATCAGAGCCAGTGGATTTCGTTACACGGGCATTTTGCCGTAACACGGGCAGAAATATTGCCGTTAAGTGCCTTCGTAACTTGAATTTTTCGTTAAATGGGGTCTTCGTAAGTCAGGTTTTTTTTTTTTAAGTATAGTTTTAAATTTTATTTTGATTAACCTAACAGTTTCATTAAACTTTAAGTTTTGACTTTAGTTGTAGTTCACTTTCATAATAACTCAGGCACTGCAAAGGTTTTTTGTGCTTTTGTACCAAAACTAAGCAAAAAGCTAAGAGCGAACACTGAACTGAAGATGTGCACACATGAAACTGAAATGAGAAAGAATTACAGTAAATGTCTTTAGTTTTATTTATTTTTTTGTAAGGTTGGTCAAATTTGTTTACACAACTGGCCCGATGAAGCATTGCTGCATCTGATTATTGAGTCTGGTATTTCTACATGACTGTGAGTAAAAAAAACCCGCATAAAGCTTTCTGTTGAATTTTGGTTCTATTCTATTCTGCTCTGTCCCCAAATCTTCCCCCTGAAAACCCTTCACATTACAGTAATTATGATTCAGTCTAAAACTGAAAGTAATTACACTGATTAAATAACACAGTAAAAATGAAAGTGAACTAAGAGAAAAAATATAAAGAAATAAAAGTGGAAAACTGTAATAAATCCAGTTGGGTTTTTTTTTTCTTTTTTGGAAAGGGCAGAAGTTTAAACTGTTCCAAAGTTAACTGAAGGACAAGAGATTGAAAAAAGCAGCTTTGAATTCATGTCTAAAGGATGCGTAGTGTTGGAGGGATGTCAGCTAAAGCTCAACTATGTATTATCACTTTTTACCACAAGAGGAAGCAGTGAGTTAGTGCACCTTTTATTTAACCGTTGTGGTCGGCATCTGGGGGAAAAGACAAAGCCTCGGAAGGAATAGGGAGTAGGACTTAAAAGAAATGTCAGAAATTAAATTAAAGGCAGCACACATCCCAAAACATCTCAATACTCCCACTGGTAAAATGCTGCCCCCTGGTGGTAATAGATATAGTTGCAGAGGGTAATTACGAAACGTAGCTTTACCTCTCACAAAATTGAGCTATTTCAGCAACTAAAGTGCTATATGTTACACAAGTATCGTGTTTTTACAGCTCTCTTGGTGTATCCCATCCATTTAGTGTTTCATTTATCTGTTACAGATCAGCTAAAATGACTAATTTTATGATTAAAAATATCTCAAAAGTGCAAAAATATACAATTGCTCACTCTCTAGATGGTTGACTACAGACAGATGGAAAGAGACAGGCTGTTTTTTCAGGGAAGGAGACAAGGGAGGAGGGAGCAGAGTGAGAGACTGTGGAGGGATAAATCGACAAGAGCGAGGGAGGGAGCAAAACAAAGCAGCCATTTCTGTGGCAGTACTGTGAGGTAAACAGAGAGAGAGCTGGCAGAGACTTCGGTTAAAGCTGACCGATCGGTGGAGCGATCAGCTGTGGATCTGCATTCCTGTTCTGCTCAGCAGCTTTGCACCATGACAGCTGGAGAAGGTAAGACTGGAAATGCGAAGAGCTCTCAGAAACACCCAAAATATTATCATCGTCTCTTTTGCTCTGTGTTTGAGTTTTTATCTTTTTATGTAATCTTTTTTTTTCTGCTGCAAACTGAGCTCTGAGCCACTTCTGTACTTTTCTGATAGCTCTGGCAATCGAGGAGGGAGTCTCCGGTTGTTTCTGCAGCAGCGTGGCGTTATAATTATAAGTGTGACTGCTGTGACGAAGCTGCAGCAGCTTTCAGCGGTCACACTGTGATTTCTCCATGCAGTGCACATGGTAGTGTCACATTTTTTGCCTCTTGTTTGGAGAATGCCTGCTGGTGCCTGAAGCCACGAGGGACAATTTGATTTTCCTTATCCTGGAAATGGTTACACATTTCTCTATATCATTTAGATAATTTGTTACATAATCCCTTCAATTATATATTTTTGTGCGTATAATTTTTGATAAGCACACCTTCGGTTTTATGGTAGGAGTATACAAGGACAAAAAATCTTGCTTCTGCTGACGTTTCGTTATAAAAGCAGCCAGCCCCGACATGAATTTTGTTTTGCAGTTTTACATCAGCGGTTCAGTCACTGGCAGAGCAGCAGTCAGCAGCAGCTCTTTTAAGAACCAAAGTGGAACTAAAGTTATTGCAGCACTTGAATTGTATGAAGAAAGCAGGTCATCCTCACAGTGGGAGTGGTGCGTTTTTAAATAGGCGGATGCTCCAAGAAACCTGATGAAGTGGGCGAAACAGGCTTTAGGAAACATGAAGTCAGAGATTTATTTTGCTGCAGTATTTTCCACTACTGATACAGCACATGTAGAAATAAACAAGAGTCCTTTCCACTCGCTTAGTTTCTATAAATATGTTGCGCGTGTGATATGTTGGTGAATTTCTGATTAAGCAGGAACCAAATAAACATTCTGCAGGTCAAGGTAAAATCAGAAACAGACCGTCAGCGCTCCTCTGACAGGAGAGATGACATCGTGTGGGGCGGTGTGAGGGCGATCCTGGTCGTGTTCCAGACCTGCTGCGATCGCTTCATGCTTCATTTCTGCTGTTGTGCTCGGCTTTCACACGGCCACAGGGGTGAGGCGAAGGTAATCTCGAGCTGCTCAGGGGTGATTTTACCTGGAAGCAGAGTCGTATGGGCCACAAAAATTAGCCAAATAAATCCAGTGCAGTTTGTTTCAAAGCTTCATTAATGCTAGCAAGGCAAATGTTGACTTTAAGACCAGCTGCAAAAAAAGGAGCGGTTCTGTGACTAATATTTAGGTTTTCATAACAGTGTGTGGGAGTAGTCTGTTTATTGTTTTGGTTCCATTTTCTTTACATTTCCTTTCTTATGTATGATATACATTTCATGCATATAAAATGTTTTATTTTCTATAAACTACTGAGAGGAGAAAGAACTACTGAAACATAAAGGCTCACTTATGTACAGATATTAAACCTCCAAGCATCTGTGTGTTTGCTCTCAACACAAAATAAGCAGTAAGTTTGCTAATAAAAGCTGCATTTAAAACTTTAAATTGTCCCGTATCATAAATACAGCTCCATCTTTGTAACAAGCCAAATCTATTTAAAATCACTCGTAAAATCAGTGAGTTCTGACGATTTCTAATCATGTATAAACTGTTTGGAGGTCTGGTTTACCGTGGCGCATCGTTCAGATGGATAGCTTGTGTGGATATCTCGGATGTGAGCTAGAAGTTTGTATTATTTCTCCAGATCTGCGCACACTAAGGTTTCAGATCCAGGCTGTATTTATAACCACAGAGGAGAGCTGTGGGTGGGTGGGTGGGACGCCATGTCAGCTGCTCACTTCTCAGTTTCTTGAACACAATCACAGTGTTTTTGTGACTGGCTGAATTCCCAAGGCATTTTGTGTGCATTTGTTCTGTGTGTGTGTGTGTGTGTGTGTGTGTGTGTGTGTGTGTGTGTGTGTGTGTGT